GCTGCAGCACCCTGGGGAGCATGAGGGACCCAGCCAGGAACCACTGGGAGCCCAGGGCTGGGCTGGAGCCGTGCAGGGCCCAGCACTCACTGCAGCTCTGTGAGGCAAATTCGCGGAGGTCCAGGTCCTTCAGCTGGAAGTTGACGAAGGTGGTGAGCTTGCTCGTTCGTATCCTGGCCTCTGAGAAGCGCTTCAGGTCTGGGGGTCATGTCAAGGAGCCAAGGGACAAAGGGGAGCCTGTGAGGAACCGCCTGCCTCCCTACCAGCACCCCCTGTCACTGTCCCTCCGCCTCAAGGATACGAAGCACCAGGATCTTGGGAAACTTCTGGATGCTGAATTTCTTTGTACATCTCGTCCTGGCTTTGCAGTGACAACATGTCTGTGGGACACAAACAGTACAAGCAGGAGGGTGAGAGCAGAGGTCAGCCCCACCAGGCACCAAGCCCACAGTCCTGGCAACACAGGCACGGAGGGAAAGGGGCCCAGCCTGCACCAAGGCAAGCCCACCTGCCCCCGTGCCCCATGCTCCGTACCGGTTTCTCGTCCCCATCCAGCACATCCTCTTTGGTGAAGAGCCGTAGGCAGTCCATGAGGGTCACCTCCCCGTAGCCTTTCTGTGGGAGCAGAGTGTGGGTCAGAGACAGGGTGTGTGGGGCAGGGGGCCGTGGGCCAGTGGGGACCCTTTACCTTGGGGATAGGCAGGGACAGGTCCCAGAAGGGGTCAAAGGCTGTGGAGCAGTAGCCGCACTCACTACAGGTCAGTGAACTCTTCAGCTGCCCAACGAAGAGGTCTGGAGGCGATGGGACAAAGCAGGGTAAGACCCTTGGTTCCCAGCCCTGCTCCCAGCCCAGCCCTGCCCTCCCCTCCCCATAGCCCTGCTCACCGCTAATGCGGCTGTCCTCCCTCTCCTGGTACCTCCTCCACATCTGGCGGCTCTTCTCGTCATCACTGCAAGAGACGGGGAGACAGAGTGGTACTGAGTGTGGCCTGGGGGATGCCAGCCCCCACGACCCAGCCCAGAGGGACCTGCATGGTCACTATCCCTGAGCCGGGCTTGCAGGCAGCGAGCTCATCCGTGGGGCTCGTCCACTGCCTCCACCCCAGCCAGCACTTACGGGAGGTGGTCCAGGGTGTCTGTGCTGGCCCGTGGCCGCACCAGCACGCGGTTCACCTCACCATGCAGCCCGTCAAGGAGGAACCGCAGGAACTCCTGTGCATCCTGCTGGCTGCAAGACACGGGGCATGGCCGGTGAGCGGGTGGCAGGGGCTTAGCTCTCCCCTGCCACCCCCACACCGACACCCCTTACTTGTAGCCAACGAAGCGGGGGGCATATCTCTGGATCTGCGTCTTGAACTCAGAGGGGCTCACGCTCTCATTGGGGGACGAGGTCCAGAGCAGCTGAATCAGCTTTGCAAACTCTGTGGGCAGAGAGGCAGGTCAGCAGCACAGCCAGCCCCAGCCAGCTCTGGTGGCATTGCCATGCCCTCCAGAGGAGAGCTCAGCACCCCACTCCGGGGTCCCTGTGACCGTCCCCGTCCCCTCTGGAGGGGAA